CTTTTCTTGATAATCCACCCGATACTTTTATTATGGAGTTCAATAACAGAAATCTATTATATAATCTTAAAAATCAAATTATTCGTTTCAATAAAAATAGTAGAGTTCAATCGGTATTAGATGAACATTTATTAGTAATATAATATGAACATTTTACATTTTATTAGTAATATAATTTTTTGGACATTTTATATCTGTATTTTTTTTTACATAATAAAGTTCTATCGTGAATATAATATGAAAAATCACATGACTTTCAATATATCGAACTCTTTATTGTTTACCTATAGAGTTCGGTATATAAAAAAATTTAGATTTACTGAACACCTTTCATATACCGAATTTTTATCCCTGAACTGAAAGTTCGTTACATCGAGGTTTAACTGTACCTAAATTTTATTGCTACTTTAAATAGATCAACTATATTTTATATTATAACTTCATTAGATCCTGTCAAAATTACTTTTAAGAATTTGTATATCAAATACCTTATTAATTTGTCATTTTTTTTCAAATACAGTATATATCTATAAACAATAAAATTACATTTTAAAATAATCTTCTACATAAGGGACAGCTTGTTGAATTTGAACTTCGGAACCACTATATAATGTGATGTGAATTTAATATTAAATTATCTCAACAAAATTTAAAGATTGTAATGATTGATAATAAATAACTTACCTTGTAAAGACAAGCAGCATGAAACTTATTCTTACAAGTACTACATTGTTTAGTTGGCAGAGACCTATCATCAAGACTTACAACAGAATAACAAATTGGACAATCTTCAATTCCACGAAATCGAAGGTTTATATTATTTTTAAATAAGTTCAACGCAACCTCCAAATTACCATTCTAGTTAAGGAAAATATTTAAAAAAAAAAAAAAATCGTTTAGGGAGATTAACAAATTATCATTATTTAATGAATGATTAGCTACCTGGGAATTTACAACGGTTTGAACAGGCAATTTTGCCCATTTAAGGTCCGCAACTTCTCTTGTACCCATTCTTTCCAAGGTACTAAATTCTGCTTGACGTAATGGGAAATTATTTGACATTCTAATACTAAGTTCCATCACGTATTCGTCAACCATAAATGAAGCGATTACTTCGTTGGAACTACGAGCGATTCTTATTGAGAATTTTTCATCCTCTAATTGCGACTTGACATCTTCGCTTTGAAGCATCTCAAGTTGATTTTGGATTATAACTGGACTGAAATATTTCTCAGTATAGCTAATATGTTAGAATATAAGTGAATATAATCATTAAATATTTTGATTAAGCTTGCAGAGAATTCTTTGCATTAATTATTTTCATTACCTATCAACAGCAATACTTAGTTGTCGTTTTTTGCATTCTGACCACCATATTCTATTATAAGAGAAATTTGTTTAAATAACATATAAAATGTAGGATTGGAACCCCTTATAGAAACGATAACATACCTAACAATTGATGGTACATGCTTTAATGAACGATAATACAAATGTGCGCTAAGCAAAGGAAGCCCCAAATCAAAACTATGCTGAACTTCAAACCCTAAAAATTATTATTATTTTTTTTTTTATTGATATGTAAAAAAATTATAACTCGTAAGCAATTTAATCAAATAAGAAATAAACTTAAAATTAAGTTACCCTCAATATAAAATTCAGATATATCCCAATTTAACAAGTCGTATGGCTTATTAGATCGAGACAATCCTAACGTATCGAATATATACGTAAATAGACTCGACGTTATATCTGGTTCTTTAAGACATGATATAAGTTGTGACTTGACCTTAAATGACTAGATTTGCAACGAAAGAAAACTTTAAGATGGTGGAATTAAGTTAAATTAAGATGAATAATTTAACATTATTTACCGCGAGTTCAAAGTGATCAAGAACAAGCATCCAACCAAGCAAATTTCCGAATACTTTATGCGCAATCTAAAAAAGCAAGTAGCAAAATAAGAATTAATTCTTAAAATATATATATATTTGATTTGTAAAGAGAAAAAAAGTATGCATATTTACAAAGATATCTGTACTTGCAGGGTAAATATCATTCAAATGATCAATTTTCTGGGTTTGCATAATCAAAGATATCAACCCTTTATCGTATTGTATATTTATTTCGTCTAATATTTTTTTGAATATTGTTAAAATATTATAAACAAGGATACATCAATAATAATTCAAAATTTATTGATATAATATAATATACCTGAATTTTCCGTTAATTCTAATTCTTCAGATAATCTCATTGTCTTTTGCACGATTATAGAATGAAGATGTTTATAAGAACATTTTTGGATTCCATCATGAGGAACCATTAACAATGAATAAAGCTAAAATAAATAAATAATTATAACATATGATATATTATTTCATTGTAAATACCATAAAATATAGAATTAATAACAATACCTCGTCCCTTTCATTAATTAAAAGCGATTTAGATAAATCTTGACATGCTTCACATAAAATTTCTAAATAATTACTATACTGCTCCGAAAAAGTTTCTTCCTGATGGTCTTTATAAGAATTTATGCATTAATTAAACTTCAATCAAATAACCAACTTTAAATGATAAAAATTTACCCTTTTCTTGAAATAATAAAGGAGATAATGTTTCATATAATATCGTTTTAAACTCGGAGAAAGATTTGTATAAACCTTCCTTTGATGTGTCATCAGACTCGATCTTCACTCAATAATTTTCAACCAAAAATTGATTTTAAAAACTCTTTTTTTTTTTGAAGAAAAAATAATTACAGAATACAAATATACTTTATACTTAAAGCTACCTTGTTGGATTTATTTTCATACTGAAGATTAAAATAAATCAAGCGACAAAATAAATATATAGCTTCATACCGAAGTTCTAAATTACGATTTTTCTATATTCAATAATGTTTGTTAGATTATTCCATGTAAACGAGAAATAATAATAATAATTTTAAAAACTCAATATTACTTCAAACCAATTCTGAAGACATTGAAAAATAAATATCCAATGCGTTCCTTGAGAATCGTGTATTGGTGAAATAATGGAAATAAAAAGACGTGAAACTTGAATTTGAATATGGTTATATTCAGGATCAAATAATAATTTAGAATCCGTTTCCTCGTGCCATTTGATTATACACTTCACTAAATCTAAAGAACGTTTTGGAGTTAGGAAATATTCATCATCCCTCTTTGTTGTAATCGTCAAAAGACGTAAATATTCCAGTCCTTAAGTAGAAAAAAATAATATTCAGAATCCAAGATATTAACAATTGAATGCACAGTTAACAAAATAATACCTTTATTGGCAGACGAATCGTCCGTGTTACAAATATCAGTTGCGCTTAGATCGCACAACTTACTAAGCAGATCATTCTGAAAAGTTTTGAACTTTTTGGAAGTTTCAAGGAATGGTCTTAATGACGAAATTAATGCCATTTTAGTGACGAGATTACCTAATACGTTATAAGTTTAGTATTATAAAATAATATAATCAAAGCAAAATATTTATTAACTCACAATCAGATGATTCCAATTGAAATATTTCAAGAAATTCTTCTGCGTCAACAACCAATACATCTAATACTTCCAAAATCGTCGAAAATAAAATTTGTAAAGTTCTCGCCCAGTAATGTGAATAATTTCCATGTGAACGCTTCAAAGTATCAACAAGCATACTAGATAAATCAATTATTGGACATTGTTCAGAACTATATCCGAACTTCATCTTTTCTGCAAGTGATTTCAAATCAATAGATGTATTTTGCATCGTAGATTTCACGTAATGTTTTAATATCGTAGGGTAATCTGCAAGAAATGCTTTAAATCCATGGTAATCGCTCTCTTCGGTTACAGTTGCATCCCAAAGATGATGTCTTCTCTTACGTGAACGATGAATATCATTACACAAAACATGCATCAATAATAATTCTGAAAGTACCCAATGGGACGAATGTTTCTCTTGTGCATCGAAAGGCACACCCTTGGAATCGTTAATATCAAAGAACGTCAAAACACCAATCTTATTGATTAATTCTATCGCAAAAATTCCTAACCGTGCATAAGCACTTAATCCATATATATCATAAGCGATAGATTGCGTAGATTGCGTCTCAAAATGATTTTTAACTTGCATCTCACCATTGCAAGTAATAGGTATCATTGGATCAACAATAACGAGGGATGAATCAATAGGGGAGGTTAACAAAGGCTCACTAAGCTGACGCCATTCTTGTTCACTAAGGAGAAAAGGTGCAATGACTTCAGGAGATGTTGCACGTTCAGCTTGATAAAGACTTGTGCATAATTTCATAACACGTTGCGCGAAATCTGTAGGACTAAAAAGCAGAAAGCACGTCAATTTTTTTAATCGGTGAGATGAATAACAAAATCAAAAAATAAAACCAGTCATGATTTGTAACCTAACAGCATATTGTATATTCAAAAGAGATTCTCTGATTTGTTGAGAGATATGATGAAACACTACATCTTCTTTATGATTAGCTCGACAAGAATTTGAAATTTGACTCCAGCTATTTTGAACTAATGATCCGATATCTTTAATAATTTCCGAATCAGGACTTTCATAAGCTTTCACAAAAGTAAGTTCAAATATTGCCCATGAAATTAACAATAAATCTGATTCCAATAACATTTTCATGAATTGGACGTCTCCACATAATTTGGTAAAAATACGTAATACTGAAATCACACTATCGTAAGAAATTACAGTATCTCCAGTGATAGAATAGTAAGAATGTGCAAAAGTATCAATTCCTTTAAAAAAATGATTCAGAATATCTAACTTGGTCTTTTGAGACAATAGGGAAACTTGAGGAAATAATTAATAAGTGGTTAGTAATGACACAGTAGAATTTAGAAGTCAGTTCCGCTAAAAAAAATTTAACGTATACCGTCAGATAAAAACGTGAGTTCCAAAACATCTTCAATCAACTTTCTAATATTTGCATTAATTTTATCGTTAAATAATTCATTGGTGATAAAAATCAAAAATTCATCGAAAGGATCGTTGATTAATGGGGCCAAGTTCTTAAGTTCAGAAACCTAATCAAAGTATCATTAATTTTGACTTCAAAAATTTAAGAATCTGCATAAATCTTACAAGTAACTAACTCACTTTAATTATTGAAAGACGAATGCATTCAAGTTTTTTCTCTAAATCATTGAATTCCAATAAAATTCGCATGAAATTATGCCAACTTTCATTAGCTTGTGGATCTTGTGCGTAAAATAAATATACCGAATAGGATTCAATTAAGTAATCAAGTGCACTTATTGAACAAGTTGCAACAATATCATTAAATGTGGTTTCGATAAATTTGTCTAACGACTATTAATTATTATAACATAAATTGTCAACATAATAAACAAATTATTGCTAATAAGTCACATGCGAAATTAAATAAATATATACCTGTTTTGTGGTAGAGTTCTTAAAAATAATGTCGGACATATTCTTTATAAAATTTAATAACAAAAGATCTAAGCCTAAAGAACAACCTTCAATTCAAATAATGAAAGGTAGTAGAATATAAAATCAATAATCGGCTGAATATAAATTAAGGTATATATTAAAAATCATACCATTATTTTCTTTACATTTATCTATTACCAAACAGAAAATGTGAGCCACAAGTGTTTCAAACTAAAAATCAATATTAAAAGTTAAATCGAATTCTAATTTGATAAGCTCGAAAAATAAGGTAATGCTATAAATACACAAACCATAGTGAAAAGTTCACCAACTTTTTGTCGAATCTCCGGGGTTAACATCAATGAGCTAAGAAAATGTGAAAATCTTCGAGAGAATTCTATGTAATCATTCTCGACATTAGGACCGGGATTAGGAACAGTTCCATGGGTTATAACGCGTACACAAAGATCTTCAAGCTTTTTAAATAAAATTTTTAAAGGTTCTATAGAAAATATATATTAAAAGAGTGAAAACCAAAAATAAAATAAAAATAAAAATAAAAATAATATAGTTGAAGTCATTAACAAACCTGTTTCTTTTAACTTAGAAAATAATGAAGAGATATTTGTTGATAAAATAGAACGCATCTGCCCAGACTGAAATTTGGCATTAGACTAAAGACATAAAATCGAATCATTAAATATTAAATCGCACAATTAATTAAGCATTTAAATAACTTTTTTCGTCAACCTCAGATTCCAGCAAATAATTCTCAATTAATCCAAAAAATACTTTTTCAACAAGATAAATAAGTTTGTCCCTCTCACTTTCATGCTTTCTAGATATGGTAAAAATATCAATGGAAATATTCCAGGAAGAACTTTATACGTGAAAAAATTAATAATAAAAAAGATACTTGCTCTAGTTTAATTATATAGTACATTAAGCATTCACTATATGCTTCTAGAAATACACCAGAATTAAATCGATCAATTACGGGACTTGATAGGCCTTTCCAAAAATTCGAAAAAAATACTTCATAAAATTTTTGATCAGAATTAATTTGCTAAAAATTTAAAAGTATAATAATTAGTCTAAAATTTCAACTAGTATAGTTCATTTATGTTTTGAGACATTTAATCGAATTCATGATATTCTCTTCGAAGAAAAAATGATGTAACCAACCTCTTGAGGTAGATGAACAATCAATGGTAATATACTTGGATATGAAACGTTAATTGATCCATAAGCACCAGATCGGAGAAAGTTATATAATTTTGGTAACATTGGTTTTTTTTTACTAGCTGTCAACCACGACTGAGGAAATCCTATAGGTAAATATTATACAATCATCATGTTGTAAATAAGTAATATATATATATATATGTATCATATAAATTTTAAAAGAACTTACTTCTAGTAAATATGAGGAGAGAATCCCATAAATCTTGGTGGACACTCGTATCCTTATCGTTAAAAACTCTCATCAGGTAAGTAGTACTAAACATATCTATTCGTTCTTCAACTTCGGCTATTATAAAATATAGATCCAAAGTCAATAAACCAAAAAAAAAAAAATAATAATAAATTGAATTTATTCTCTTACATGGCCATTTATTTACCAAAACCTTTATTAGATTATAGCAAGATTTCCGAACGAGTGAATTATCATTAGATAAATTTCCCCAAAACTTGCTATTATCGAATAAATTATCATAATTTTTTGCCAATGCGCTTTCTTCCAATTGATTTATAATATGAGCGAGAGCGTAATATGAACTTGCAACAACTCTATGATATTTAGAGTTCATGTCTTCTTTTGACGTGAATCGAGGATCACCTGATGTTAAACAAAATTAAAGTTTCGGTTCTTTTACATCAATCATTTAGAATAATAATTCTCGTTCGATTAAATATCTCTGATATGTTTCTTGAAATAAGGTTTAAAAAGAAACTCACTTAAAGTGTCGGGAGTTTTAAATAAAATTATCTCTGTAATATAAGATAATATTTTTTCTTGCCCAAACATCAACACCTCAACTCGTTTATCGGATGGAAAAGCTGCCTAAAACATCCAGTTCAAATGAAATTAATACATAATTTTTTTGTATTCCAAATTAATAACGAGAAAAAATTTCCAAAGATTAACCTGAAAAGCATCATTGGCTATCTTTGCAACATCTTTACTTTGATCAAATAAAGAAATTATCCAAACAGCAATAATTTCTTTAAGGTAAGGTGCAATCTTTTTTTTTATTTTTGTTACAATAATAAAATGACAGGAATGTGTAGCATGTCTAACCCTACGATCCACATCAATCCCCAATTTAACGAACCATGTCGTCTAAAAATTAATATCAAATATTAACTTCATCAAATAATATTTTAATCGAAATCACTTCATACAAGTAAAGATCCTCTAGATATTTACCCATATATCCATCATTCCTACTAATTCATCCGCATTCCTCCCTTCAATTTTTAGGTATTCCTCAAATTCTTCTAAAGCCTTTAATTTAGTAGTAGGATCACGTTTAGATAACCTTTTAAATATAAGGACCAGCTCAGGATCTATAGTTCCACTACTAATAGCACTGTCTGGGAATATACGATCATTCGTTGCTGCGCTTGAAAATGCTTTCCCACCTAAGAACTGTGCGAACCCTCCTAGGTTTCCAATTGGTGACTGACCACTCGTTGCAATGATTTCTGCAGCTCGACTATATATAAATAAGCAAAATTAAACTAATTGATTTGAATATCTTTTCTATAATAGATATAAGGTACGCGCGATTTCGAACCTGCTACTTGCTGGTTGAACATTTCCTTTAACTCGAGGTTTCTTTGACTTTCCCATTTTCAATAAATAATCGTTAGAATTTCTTTTTAGACGACAGATCTAAACTATAAAATTCAGAAAAAAATTATTCAGCCAAAAAGTCAGATCAGATGACTATAAAAAACGTCACTTAATCTGGTTGCAAATCTGAAATATTTAATTTAATTCCATTTTTCCAAAATAAAAAAAATTTTTTTTTTGAAAATTGGGAAATTATGAAAATAATTGACAAAATAAATAGTCATGAACCCTCTAAAGCTTTTTACTCGTTTGAATACTTTCCTCCTAAAACAGACGAAGTGGGTGTTAATATATTACTTCTAGTTATTTATCGTAATATACATTAAAGTTTTTTTTTATACATTAGGGTTTAACCAACCTTTATGATAGACTTAAACGTATGTCTTTCTTGAACCCTCTCTTTGCGTCGTTCACGTGGGGCGCGGGTGGGAGTACTATAGACAGAACAACAGACATGTGTGCAACAGCTCAGACCCTTTATGGGTTTGAAAGTTGTATGCACTTAACTTGTACAAACGTTGTGAGAACAACAATAGAAAAGGCTTTGGAGGTTAGTTTTATTTCTCACATATCGGAGAAAGATCTTATTGAATAAATTCTACCATGAATTGATATTCATTTTACAACATAATCATAAATTCAATTCAATTCTATTCTATTATTAATCAGGAAGCCAAAAGTGCGGGTATTCAGAATATTTTAGCCTTGCGTGGTGGTAAGTTGTTCCGTATTTAGTAATTATGGTTCGTTTTGTTTAATCGAGGTTTATAATAGATTATTATACACGCGTCTTTAATAGATCCACCAAGAGGTCAAGAGTATTGGACGTCATGTGATGACGATTTTACACATGCGATTGATTTAGTGAGATTTATTAGAAAAGAGTACGGAGATTATTTTTGTATTGGAGTTGCAGGTGCGTCTACAATTTTTATGCCCGAAATTATTTAATTTATTCACGTGTAAGCTTCTTTTTTTTAATTTAAGGTTATCCTGAAGGATATCCGGATTCTGACGATAAGAATCAAGATTTGAAGTATTTAAAAGAAAAAGTAGACGCTGGTGCAGAATTTGTTATTACACAATTATTTTATAATGTAGATACATTTGTGGAATGGGAAAAAGAATGTCGAAAAATTGGTAGATGTTATATACATATATTTAAACAAATTATTTTTATTAAATTAATTTTTAAATAATTATAACAGGCATCAAGGTACCTATTATCCCAGGTATTATGCCAATTCAGGGTTATCATAGTTTTCGAAGAATAACGAACCTTTGTAAGATGAATATACCTTCGGAGATATTAGATGCTCTAGAACCAATCAAAGTATGACATATATATAAAATTTTCTACTATGAATATTATGATTAATAAGAATTATGGTTTTAGCACGATGATCAAGCAGTTAAAGACTATGGTGTTTCACTCGCAGTTTCTATTATATCTAAATTATTCAATGAACACAATGTAAGAGGTTTTCATCTATGTACTATGAATTTGGAGAAATCTGTACGGTTGGTTTTGGAGAAATTAAAATTTGTACCAACAGAAGAGGAAAGAAATTTACGACGTCGTAGTAGACGGCGTTCAAGCGTTGGTTTTGTGTCCAATGATATCATCAGACAGGTATGGTTAGATAAGAATTTACAATACGTTTCAAAGAAATTTTTGTATTTATCTTTTTGTTTCTTGATTAATAGGAGCCTGATGGATCACTTCCAACTGTAAAGCCAGTAATATGGAAGGAACAAAGCGAAGATTATTTGGGTAGATCGGAAGATTGGGATAATTTTCCAAATGGACGTTGGGGAGATGCAAGGTCTCCTGGTATGCCTTAATTTTACAATAAACAATTCGAGCTTTATCATCATTTTAACTTTATAAAATTATCCTCCATAAAGCTTTCGGGGAATTGGATGGATATGGTGTGTCTCTAAGAATACCGGTAAGTTAATATTAATGATGATAAGTTTTTTTTTTAATAAATTTTAAAGCATAAAAAATATTTTCATTTAGCCTGAACAAGCTTTAGAGTATTGGCAAAGACCAACAACATTAGATGAGTTGAAACAAGTTTTTAAGTCCTACATCCTTGGTGATATTCCCGCATTACCATGGTATGAGGAACCACTTTTTGCAGAAACCGAAGCAATTCGGTCAAAACTTGTTCGTCTTAATGAACTCGGGTACTTAACAGTTAGTTCACAACCAGCTGTTAATGGGGCAAAAAGCGAAGACCCTATTTACGGCTGGGGTCCAAAAGGCGGCTATGTGTATCAAAAAGCATTTGTTGAATTTTTTGTAAGTCTAGAAAATTTGGAGAAATTAATTAAAAAGATAACAGGTAATCCTTGGATTACTTATTATGCTTTAAATAGAAATGTAAGTATAAAACAATTCATATTCGTTTAAAATTAGTAGATTTAAAGATAAATTATATTTGATCACTTGTAGGGGGATTTTAAAACTAATATAAAAGAGGAAGCGCCATCTGCTGTTACTTGGGGGGTTTTTCCCGGTAAAGAAATCGTACAACCAACGATTATCGAGCAAGTTTCATTTAAAGCTTGGAAAGTATGTATAAAAAGAATTTCTTTAAAGTTTCCCTATTCAATAATTACATTTTGCTAACATTATGAAATATTTAAGGACGAAGCGTATGCTTTATGGACAGAATGGGAACATTTATATCCAAAGAATTCACCTACACAAAAGTTATTAAATGATATTGGAAATAATTGGTGGTTAATTAATCTTGTTCATCACAATTATGTTGATCCTGAAGGAATTTGGGATATATTTTTTAATGATGATGTAAATAATGAATGATATTGATAACCTTTTTATTTAAATAAAGAATGAGATAAAAAAAAAAAATTATAATTTTAGTAATGAGGAAAAATACAACAAAACACATCAAAAAAAAATTTTATCAATCTAGATTCTTTTTCTTAATAGTTATTGTCCGTTATATTTGTCTCGATTAGGGTCGTAAATTCTCTAATCCCGCTACAGTACTATATACATATATATATATATTAAAAAAAAAATTTTTTTTTTAATATGAGTATCAAAAAATATATATATATTTATATAGATAAAAAAAAAATTTAAATAATAAAAAAGTAAATTTTACGAATGGTAGGTAACTAATTAAGTAAAATTATCTTATCATTCATGTTACACTCGAAATCAGGATTACTAAAGATTTAGATTAGGATAATCAAATGTAATCAGATAATCAAATTTTTTTTAATATAAAATGAGACCAGATAAATTCAAATATTTCGAGAAAATAATTTTTTTTCTTTATATATAATTATTTTCATTCATAGATATTTATTTTTTGTATAATGAAAAAAATCTGTTCAATCGAATTTAATGTTTCTTATTTAACAAGGTTTTAAAAATCAAAAAAATTTTTATTTTTTTATATATATTTATTTTCTTTTAAAAAAAAAAAAATTCTAATTTCATCTAGTTCATAAAAAAAAAAAAGAAAAAAAAAAAAGGTTCTCAATTACCAAAACTTTTTAATCCAAATCACCTATTCATTTACTTTTACATCACATAAAAATTGTTCAAATATGAAAACATCCTATAAAAAAAAAAAAACTTTGTAACAGGAAAAAAAGAAAGCTATAGGATGTACAATATTTTGAAGGTTACTTGTTTTGTTTCAATTTAATTCATCATTACTATTTATCTAAAATAATTCTTATAAAATCTCTTGAGACCTTTGTTCATCTTCAACGATTCCATCTAATTTTTATTTTTTTAAAGAGAAAAAAAAAAAAGGTTACTTTTCTAAATGATCAAGCAGCAGATTCTCTACAAAAATATTTATCTTAATTTTACCTACCTTCAAAGTTAGAATGGGGATGAGTCATATTATGCTTTTTCCAATGATAGGTAGATTTAAATTCTTTACCACAATCCTCATATTTACATTTAAATTTAATTGCAGTACCATCACTCATCTTCTTATGAGTTTTAAACATATGTCTAGCTAAGCTGTCTGGATGAAAAAATTTCTTATCACAACCAAGTTCATTACAATTAAAAGTTTTATCTTTGGAATGTTTTCTATAATGAGCAACTAAATGTTTAAATTTATCAAAAGACTTTGTACAACCGATTTCATCACATTTAAATGCTTTATCTATAGTAGGTAAATTAATGATTTGTTTTTCATGAGATTCTTTATGCTTTTCCAAACTCGACAATAATGAAAATGATCGTACACATCCAGTTACATCACACTGATACATTGGTGTTGCCTTTTCTTTTCTCTTACTATTACTGCCGGAAGCAGACACGTTTCCAAAAGTACTGTCTTGATTTATTTGCAAATGATATCGTCTGATGTGATTGTTTAAACTATTCTGTGATTTGAATAATGTCCAACATTTTGGGAATTTACATGCCCACATTATTTGTCCTTCATGCACTACGACTTCTTTAAGATGTTGATTAGTATCTTCAGCTTGTTGAAGCATTGATATCGTTGGGCTCATTGATGTTGTTGTGGGCATAGGTAACGTGGTTAAAGATAAAGGTGATTGTGTCGAGGGAAAAAAATTCGTCGCTGGAACGATGTTGTTGGTAAATGTATTGGTAATGGTAGGTAATGAAACAAATGATGAATGAGTAGCTTGCGAAGTCGTATTGGTCGAAGTCGTCAAATCTGGTATAGTTTGTTGATCCATATTATCATTCTGTAAAACAATAATATTTTCCATTTTCGTTTTTGACTATTTAATACTTAAAAGATTAGAATATTCGAAATATCATTACATTATAAAAAGTTTCTCTCTCGGGAAGAGAGAGTGAGAGTGAGAGAAAGAGTGAGAGTGAGTGAGAGAGAGAGAGAAAAAAAACTTGTATCGTTACCTAAAAAAAAACTAAAAACATTTCATATCCTAGAAAAGAAAGGAACAAAAAAATTAAATTTCAAACTAGAGTTGAGTGAAAGAAAGAAAAAAAAAAAAAAAAAAAAAAAAGGACGATTTATATAAAGGAAAAAAGTTACGGGTGAGAAAAGAAAACCGTATTTGATTACAAAAAAGAAAAAATTATTCAAGCGTAATATCTCATTGCGGCTAATTACATAATTCGGCAAAGCAAGTTTTCGGTTATCCGACATCACATGACAATCAAAGTCCAGGATAACAATACTGCGCCACAAGCAACCTTTTATTTTAAATATTTTTTTATTTAAAATCTATATCAAGTAAATTTATACAAATTTTATATATCCATTGATTTCTGAAGGTTCAGACAACCTCTTTAAATGTTAAGGCCCGCAAACGTTGCTATGAATCTTACCAATTTTAGCATAAATTTTCAACAAATCAATTTTATCTCGTCCTATCCATGCGTTAGCATCATGAAAATACAATTCCAATCCTACGGAAAACCACTGATCACCGAATAAAGGAATTGAGGGTATATTATCAAGAAATTGATAAAATTCGTCTAAATTACAAATAAATTTACAATAAAAGCCTAACAACGATAACCTTGCCGTGACTTTACTACCAATGTTGGGCAACCAATCATTCAAATCTATGTTCTTCACCAAAGAATCAATCTCTAAAATTTCCAAATGTTTAAGATTTTCCAAAAAATCGATTAAATATTTTATAGTATGAGGTGAGATTGAAATAAATATGTCAATTAAATTAGGACATGATTTCAAAATATTTTCAAATAAAAGTTGACTATGTTCAGGATCTTGTTCGATTTCCCATTTTAAACATAAATATTGAAGGCTTCCGTTCGTCTTTGATATAATTTTAGAGAGTTGATGTAAATTTATCCTTGCATCTATGCTTAAACTAAATTCAACAAGATGATTATACGCCGGTCCATTAGAAAAAGGTAGTAACGTGTTTAATGACCAAAAGGATTTTGTCGTATTACGAGCGTCCGGTAAATGCGAATCCGTTATTCTTAAATTAACGAGATTTTTACATCCGGAAAAAACATCCAGCGGAATCGATCCACCTTGCTTAATCCAAAGGTAAGTTAACTTGTCATCGTTAGCCTTTAAAAGATTCCTTAAAGCGTTCGTTAAGCTTGGCATCGGTTGATCAATCAAACGAATCTTCAAAAAATGTATTCTTGGTAAAGAATTTAAAAAATCACTTAAATTATCGTCATCCTCTTTGCATTTAATTATCAATTTATCAATGGTACAAAAGATATTTTTAAATTTACTAAAGAATAAATGATAATTACTTGTCGTTAACTTTAATAATTCAAGGTGTGATCTTTCCGGTATGATTTCATTTAAACAATCAAGGTAGGTATAAGATCCGAGCCCTTCTGGTATGGTTAATTTATAACGTTGTACGGAACTTTTTTTTACAATCATTTTAATTAATTCTTGAAAGATAATTAATTGCGTGTTTGAAAGGTTTGATATATCTTCAATCGTACTATCTTCTTCTACTAATTTCCTTTCTAATTGTTGACGTCGTTGTTCGATTATAATTTTAAAAATCCAATTCGCTGTGGCCGTATACAATATGGTAAAATCTATTCCTCTTAAATACATTATATAATTAAATAATGGAACGTCCTTGTCGCCTTTTTTGAGTAACTGAACTCTTTCTAATCCATTCTGTTGAAGGATAAGTTTGGATTGAGGGGAAAGACATGAAATGTATATTTCAATTATCTTGAAATTTCGACTCCAAAAGATTTTTTCTAATGGATTCTCCCATAGCGTTGGTAATACATTCGTACACCAATACCTATTTACTAATAAACAATTATATAGATCCGTGAAATGACTAACTTGTTTAAATATATTTTGAAGGATTTCAGGTGGAAACTTCATTTTTTTTTTTTCCTCTTAAATTTTAAAGGAAAAAAAAACGAAAGGAAAGGTGCCAAGGAAAGGAAAGGTGTTAAAAAAAAAAAAAAAAAAAATTTTTAATTTTAAAAATATTTATATGAACCTATCAAGCATTTTATATTCAGGTTTTGAACCAATAAAAAAAAGACTTTTTTACATTTTAACCAATTTTACCATTGTTTAATTTGTTTACGTATTGTGTTGTGTGTGTAAGTTTTTTTTTTTTTTTGGTAAATAATAATTTGGATCCTCGACTTGTATTACACGTTTGAACCTTCATTTTACCGCGGCACGACAAAACCTAAATTATAACGATTCAACTTGTTCATCTCATCTAACGAATCTGGGTCCGACGTTCGAACGTTTAACGAATAGATTGTAAATAAAACTTTTTTTTTTTTTTGAAAGTATGCAAAAAATCTTTACACACATAAGGTTTTATTAAAATTTTTATAATACGTTTCATGCATATTATGAGATTAGAGTTTTGGATTTTTTTTTTTTTTTTTTTGAGATTGATTTGAATTGGCGAAGTTTAAAAAAATCATCTTCAAGCTATAATTAGTTAAGATTTATATCAAAGACCCGACATTTCGGAACTCTTGGATCGATTTGGTAAAATTTAATAGTAAAGAACAAATTTTTTTTTTTTAAAAAAAAAAAGATTAGATTTTTTAATAAAATTCCGCTAAACCATTTTTAAATTTTTTAAATTCATTTGAATCGACAAAATAGGGTCTTGGTAAAATAAAAAGGTTTTTCAATTCTCTGAAAGAAATTGTTTTTCCAAAGGTCATTGGCAACAAAGTTTTATTAGATTTATTTTTTTCTATAAGGAAAAAAACGATCATGTGTTCAAAAATATTAATCATGAAACATTAATTAATTCATTAATACACATTTTTTTTTTTTTTTTTTAGCAAACAAGCGTTGATTCCTTAAAGTATGATGTTAAACAAAACACCTTAATGTTACATGATAAACAGTTTACTTAGTTTTGGATCGAATAATAAGGTGTCCTATTATTTGCACGCACGATTTTCAAAAAATATCCATCCCGCTTGATTTTCAAAGGTGCGTTTCATATAAATCGAAACCAACGAATTCTTTGTGTAATATACTAATGTTTTAGAATTCTATAGAATTCCATAGATGAAATCCACAATTCACATATTACATAATTTAATTCTAAGCCAGAAAGTTCAATAGAGCATTATGTCTGGGATTTGATTTAATGAGCAGGAAAAGCCTCATTTCCTTAAACTGTATGTTACACTTCATGTTTTGTCACTTTAAATAAAATTTCGGTTGCGAAAAAATAAAAAAGTTTTTTTCCACTTTCTTGTTTATGTTTGAACGGCTTTGTGTCAATGCTACACATATGATTTTCTTTATAATATTTAATCATTATAATAGTTTCATGATTCAAAGATCTGTTCAGTCTTTTGCAAAGTTATGGTGCTGCTTTGCTGTTAAACATTATATTCGGGAACGTCACGTGATAATCAAATGTATTCCCTTTTTTTCCTTTAATCTTTTAAGTAACGCATTTTCTTATTATATATATTTATGTTAACAAAGAAGTCCATGCTTTTCTGATACTCGGCCTCAAATCAAAAAAAAAATAATAATCATTTCTTTAAGCAAGGTTTATAATTATTTTTTTTTCTCGATTTAATAAGAATTTGTACAAATCTTATACTACTGATCAATTTCTATTAATCATAAACTTGTGAGTACTTTTATGTAAGCCAAATTCTCTGCCCGCCTTAAAAGTTTGTCCACAGCAATAATAATTACGGGTGGCACCAGAATCGCTCCTCCTTTGTCTTGGGCGTCTTTTTCTTGATATCGTAACGTAACATCTACTCAACACTCCGTGAGTTTTTTCTTCATGAAGCTGTATCTGTCTTACATGAGATGAAACATTGTTACATGATTTACAAACGTAATTAAGATCGTGTCTAACGTGTATCTTCCTAGAAGATTTATTAGGATATTCCTTATCGCATTGAGCACATTTGAATAATTTGACGTTGTTAATATTATCCAAAGAATCTTCCTCATCGTCTGAGAAATTCTCTCGTTCCTTCTTTTCAATTAAACCTTTAGATGTTGTATGATAAAATTTCAAAATACTTCGAACCTTCTCTACGGTCAAAGATGAAGATTTTTGCATTGATCTAGCATTACTTTGCTTGCGAAGTTTATTCACATCATTATTTGAAGAATTAACCAGTTGAATATTTTTCTCAAACATAAACATTTTGTTTGGTTGGTTTAATTTCGACGAATCCGGTTGGACGGATTTATCCATAAGGGTTGACACACCGCTTGTCCCATTAAACCTTTCATCTGCACAATTAAATTGAACGGTTTTTCTCAAAGGTTTCATATTGGGCGTACCCGTTGGACGTATGTAAGAAACGTTATCATTCATCTGCCGTTGAACTTTACGTGATGGTTTTGGAAGATCAAGAGGGCAAATTTGTGTTTCTGATCTTTCATCGTTATTCCTTTTACTACATAGGAGATCATATTGAAACAATGAATAACATGAGTTATTCTCTTGAAGTTTCGCATCAAGGCCTTGTGTGAGAACCGGTTTCATCAATTCAAGTAATGATGGAAATCCATATTGAAAGAAAGTGTTAACTTGTTTCGATTTTTGTTGAACATGTGAAACTTTTTTTGGAACCAAGAGGGTTTGATACAACATTTGTTCTAACCAATCATTTGATCGTAGAGATGTCCTTGTTTGATCTCGCCAAATTGAATCATCCAGAGTTAAGCCAAATATTTCTTTGTGAGGCCGACTTTTCTAATAACGATAATAATAATAATAATAATAATAATAATAATAAAATAATAATAAGAATCATAATAAATATTTAAAAAAAAAAAAAAAATCTTTTTAAAAAAAAGTTGAAAAGGTTATCGCACCTGTATGGAAGACATTATTCCTATAAGATGAAAGGGGAGAAGGAAAGGAACGAACGAACCCCCAAAATTTTTGGAAGCATTATTTATATCGATTTATCACCAATGATGTGTAAAATGTATAATAAAAATGTAATTGATTATAAAAAAGGTAATGTTGTGACACAATCCCAAAGGTCGAACCATCAGATGACCCTCGACGTAAAAATTCCCCCATTTCAACCCATCATCATGAGATTTCTTCATCGTAATGCAAAGATTTTATGTTTAAGAATTTGATCAAAGTTTATTTCTAGTCAAATTTGACTGTAAGTGTCAAGCGGATGAATGATCAATTTTTTCTTTTGACCAAAAACGCCAAAAAATCAAACAAATTTCACGTGAATATCTTTTTTAAGTTGATCACAACAGTTTATTATGTAAGAATGATGAGTTTTTTAACGCAAAAAACATATAATACCTTGAGGATCTCTTGTTGCCTGACTGATATTTTTTTTTTTTTTTTCTTTTTTTGTTCGATAATTCGTTTCAAAGAAAATTTAAAAAGAAAAAAAAAAAAGTCACCTTTGGTGAATAAATGTAACAAAAACGTACGGACTAACAAAACAACTCCAAAACAACTATTCGAAAAGTGAAATAGAAGTTGCTCGTATAGTACAAACGACAATCAATGCTAGCGTGTCCCTGAATGACAACCGGAAAGAAAGCTAAAACTAGAAGAGGATTGATTCGAATAGTATAATCACAGAATTTGGCTTAATATAATGTCCGCTCGAAAGATTTGTGATTATTATCCAACTTTTGATCGTCAAATTTGATTATAGTTTAAAATTTAACGATTTACTGTAACTATGTAATCAAAGCTTTTTGGCTCCTAGAGAAAAAAATCAAAAGAAGCATCAAATCTTTATTATCAAAAGGGAAGACGAAAAAAACGTGTCGACATTTTATTTTAACGGATAATTTACGAATAATTTACGAATAATTAGGTTGATAAACAAATAAAAAGACTTTTTGATTTGCAAGCTGGCTATACCGAAATCATTTGTGAGGAAAAAATTCGATTCATGTTTACTATAAAGTGTGATTGGTAATATCAAAAAAAAAAATATTTTTCTTGTTTCAAAATTTTAATAATTGAGAGAAAGAAGTTTTTCATAATCGTAAATTCCTCAAATCTCAAGATAATCATATGAAAGTTGCTCGTGACGAGAGTTTTGACACGTGACAAAATATAAATAGTAAAATTTACTTTTGTATGATGATTATCTTTTACAATGGATCAATGTAATAAACAAACTCTTGGAAAAAAAATAATGAACATATCTCATAAAACTTACCATATAATTTACTATTAGCAATCAAGATCAGTTTTAAGAATTTTGACGTCAAATTACTCCTAAAACTGTATGTAAACGTTACACGATTAATTCTTCACGTTCTCCATTACCTTCCTTTATTTCATTTTTTTTTTTTTAAAAAAAAAAATATTTACGTATCTTCCGTATTTTATATAAATAAAACTGGTGATTTTTTTTTTTTTTTTTTTATTGAAAAGAAAAAAAAAAAAAATAAATAAATAAATAAGAAAACATGTCAGCAAAACTTTCTTTACTTCATCTTCACCTCCGTTTACTTCCAAGTAAAGTAGAATCTTTTATAGACAAAACAAAAAAAGAATTTAAAGATGTTATAAATGAAGAAGATGGTTCAGAAGAATACGTTCCACTTGATTACGATTTAATATTTAATCATCCAAGAGTTGATTTATACTCATTTGAAAAGATTATGCACGATTCTTTGGATTACAATAATTCAAAAAAACAAAAAAAGGTATTAAATTTTTTTTTTTCTCTTGGTGAATTTAAAAAAACGTAAAATAATGAAATTTGACAAGTCAAATTTAAATATTTTGTTATTCTTATAGAAAACGATGTATAATCGTGTCAAGAAATGCATTATTGGTCAACTATCAACCACGTCTACCAAGGATAAAGTCAAATCAAAAGAATTAGCAGCAATAAATCACGCTTCACATCGTGTAACGTTCTCCAAAGACAATCGCGTTTATGTTTATTATGAAGAGGAATCATAGAATTTTTGGTGGTGAAGGTTATTAAGTGATTCTTACAAATTGTAAATATGTTCATAACTGTTTGAATCATCGTTTTTTTTTATAATTGTGGAAGTATTACGCGTAAATATTTCATTTCTTGGGGTTCGATACGAACATTTCAATTATACATAAATACAGAATATACGTACTAAATAACTTTGAAAGATTTTTTTTTGTAAATATGTAAAATATCATATTAGTTTACCTCAAGGCAATTAAAAGCCTTTTAAAGTTCAAAAAAAAAAAAAATTTTATTTCAAATAAAAAGAAAGGTTCGACTAAAACATTTGTAATTGATGTGTCAATCACCATGATTTCGGAAAAAATTTCATTGATTGAAAATAAGGATAATAGAAAAATACGATTTATGTTTGCGAATTGAATTAATTCTCGAATTGCTTTTTTCTTAAGTTCATCTCTCAATTCCTTGCAAAAAAAAAAAAAAAAAAAAAAATGTACATATTTAAAAAAAAAGGCCTAGAAATTTATCATCCAAAATTCGGTTCGTTTAATTCTTAAATTTGAGAAATTTTTAAGGTGAATTCGAATGAAACTTGTTTTTAAAAAATCTTTTATTTATAAACATTAATGCTTTACCGGTGGAGATTCCGTCAAAAATAAACAATAACTTTTCATAGCCTTCCTATCGAAGCAGAAAATTAAGGAACTAAGATGAGATGAAGGTGATGTAACTTTTCCTGTTATCACACAATTAGAAGATTGATTAATGGGTAGAAATTTTCTTTCGATCGTTACACAAATCTAGCCAAGTTTATCCGATCAAATATAAAAATGTTAAAATTAAAAAAAAAAAAAAAAATTTTTTTCTTTAAAAAAATAATAATAATGAAATCTCTTTTCTTGACAGGAAGCCCAAGAGTTGGTAAAACAACTATCATCAGTAAAGTAGTAAAATATTTACAAACCATTTACCCAGAAACGATTTTAGTACACGGATTTTACACATCCGAAGTAACAACAGGATTAAACAATAACAAATCAAGAATAGGGTTTGATATAATTACAATTGATGGAAAAAGAGGGGTGCTTTCACGTAAAAAAGATTATTGGACAGGAGAACCTCCCAACGTTAATGCACCAAAAGTTGGGGAATATATTGTTAATTTGAAAGAATTTGAAAAATTGGCTATACCGGCTGTAACAATTAATATAGGTGATGGTGATAAGAAAAGCAAATGTAAAAAACAGGTGATCATAATTGATGAAGTTGGTAAGATGGAAAGTTTTTCAAATGCATTTAACGAAATTGTAAGAAATTTGATATCGAGAGGAAAGAGAGATGAAAATGATATTTGTGTCGTAGGAACTGTTGCATTGAAACATGGCGGATTAGCAGGGGAGATTCGAAATAAAGTTGATGTTGGATTTAGAAGAAAACAAAAATCAATTGATGTTGGAGAGGATAATCTAGTGATTTGGGAAGTTACCAATGAAAATAGAGAGCATATGGTTAATAAAGTTGTGATTGAAATAGAAGAGATGTTGAATATTAGAAAGGAATAATGAATTTATGCTGTAAATGAGTAGAAAAATTGATTTGTTGAAATAAAATTACTAC